GTTAACAACTATACATGCAGTTGCATCCCTGGATATACTGGACGCAATTGCTCTACAGGCAAGTCAATGACGATATAGAAATTCCAAAAAAATGCTTTAACTTCTTTTTTTTTTGTGCACGTAGATATCAACGAATGCTCAATAAATCCCTGTGCAAATGGTGGAACATGTATAGATAAGGTCAACAACTACAATTGCAGCTGCATCCCTGGATATACTGGACGCAATTGCTCCACAAGTAGGTTAATGATGATATGGATRTTAAAGAGAAAASMAAATGATTTAAAKCATGTTTTGTTAAGTAGATATCAATGAATGCGAAACGAATGCTCTTCAGGCAATATATACCTATGTATARATATCGAAGGGATAAAAGAATGATTTAACTAAGTTTTTTCAATATAGATATCGACGAATGCGAACCGAATCCCTGTCAAAATGGCGCAACATGTGCAGATGAGGTTAACAACTATACTTGCAGCTGTATCGCTGGATACACAGGACGCAATTGCTCAATAGGCAAGTCAATGAYCATGTACATATTCCATRCAAAAAGAATGCCTTAACTTWTTTTTGTCTATGCAGATATCAACGAATGCGAAATGAACCCCTGTGAAAATGGCGCCACATGTTCAGATGAGGTCAACAAATATACTTGCAGCTGTGTCCCTGGATACACAGGACGCAATTGCTCAATAGGCAAGTCAATGACGATGTACATATTCGATACAAAAGAGAATCGCTTAGCTTATTTTTGTGCATGTAGATATCAACGAATGCGCACCGAATCCCTGTGAAAATGGAGGAACATGTAAAGATCAGATCAACGACTATACTTGCAGCTGTGTCCCAGGACACACTGGACGCAACTGTTCCACAAGTAAGTAATGATGCTACAGATATTAAASAGACAAGARAATGWCCTGAACGAKGTTTGTGTATTTAGATATCAACGAATGCGAKACGAASCCCTGTGAAAATGGCGGGACATGTATAGATAAAGTCAACAACTATACTTGCAGCTGTGTGCTTGGATATTCTGGACGCAATTGTTCCACAAGTGAGTCAGTGAGACTTTGCATGATCAGGACTTACAGGAATGCCTTTTTTCGTGTATATAGATATCAAAGAATGCGAAACGAKTGCTTGTCAGGCAATAAAAAATATATAGAGATATCGARGARAAAGAATGATTTAACTTAGATTTGTCTATGTAGATATCAACGAATGCGCACTGAATCCCTGTGAAAATGGCGCAACATGTACAGATGAGGTTAACAACTATACATGCAGTTGCATCCCTGGATATACTGGACGCAATTGCTCTACAGGCAAGTCAATGACGATATAGAAATTCCAAAAAAATGC